AATTATATCGTTATATTATATATATAAATATAATATATGTTGAAGCGGTTGATTTCGGTTTAGTTTGGTACACAAGATGTTTGAACCGGTACCAAACTAAAAATCCAAAAAAATAAAATTAAAATACTGCATAGACCGACTATTGTTAAAAATAGCCTGACTAAATTAGCTCTGTTTGGAAAGTTTTTTTTTTTTGTTGAATATGGTGGTTATGAGAGAAAATGTAAAATAATTATGAGTTTGATGTGACATTTTATTTTATTGGCTTATTTAGTTTATTTTGTGTTTTTGTACTTATTTAGTCAATTTAACTATTGTCATACGAAGCTTAAATATAATCGATTCGGTCCGATTCAATCGATTTGATCAGTTTGTTTGATAATATGATTGATTTGATCTAGTTCAATCGATTTGATCAGTTTTTTTATTTTTTATTTTTCTTACCTCTCCCTCTACGTTGGCCTATTTTGAAATGTAGGTTAAAAACTAATTTTTTAACTTTTTATAATTTTTTAGAAAAAACGTGTAAAAAAACGATAGTAAGCCAAAAAAATAAAAAAAAATTCAGTGTGTTTAGTTTGAGTTTTTTGGATTAAGTTTTTTGAAAACTGAGTTTTTTTATTTTCGTATTTTTTGTTTTTAGTGAATATTTTTAAATTTTAAACATTTTTTACTTTTTTAGATGCACCTTACTTAGATGTATCTAAAAAGTAAAAAATTTGTGAAAAAAATTAATAAATACATAAAAATAAAAAAATGTACTGAATTATTATATATATATTTTTTATATTTTTAGTATTTAGTGAATTTTTAAAAGATTTTTTTTACAATTTTTTTACTTTTTAGGTATATTTATGTTAGGTGTGTCTAAAAAGTAAAAAAAAAAATTGCTTAAAATATAAAAAAAAATCAGTGAAAATAAAAAAAATACGAAAAATAAAAAAGTAGAATTTTATGAAAAGTGTTTTTGGAAAAATGAAACCAAGCAATACGATTAACTTTTTAACTTTTAACATAATTATCAAAGAGTTATGCTATGGATCCTAAATAATCTATTAAATTTTATACGAAACCTCTCATATGAGTGTGAGACCCACACACATGTGAATTTGTGTGGGTCACACACCCATGTAAAAAGTTTGATAAAAAAGTTGATAAATTATTTTGGGTCCATAACATTTTCCATTGTCAAAAATAGGGTTTGGATGGTGGAAATGTCTTTCCAACATGAGAATTACTGAAGTAAACCAGAACTGTTTCTGACTAATGTTAATGGGCCTAGCTTCCCTTTAGTCTCAGATTGAATCGCGGGTACTGTTGGATCCATGAGGGCTTATCATAAGTTTCGTTTCGATAATTCGAACCGTTCACTGTATAAAACTTATCGAGCATTATATACTTGTAAAAAATCATATTAATAGTTATGTGATCTGAAAAATCTAGAAATCCCCTAGATGTTGATTTGTGATTATGTATCAATTTTAAGCAGAATATAACAATCTCAATCAAACAATCAAGACAAAGAGACACAACGATTTTACGTGGAAAAAATCACAATTGGACACCTCCAACTGTGATCAAAAAACCACGGGCAACAGCCACAAAAACAATCCACTAAGAAGATTTAAAGGAATTACACAGGTATACTCTCAATTACTTAGCGAATCCACGCCTAATTGAACCAACCTCTATGTGCCTCTTCCAACCCGTCTTCACCTCGGAATTGTCTTTACGATGAGCCACCCTGGAATCCACCAAAGCTTCAGGCTCGAATTCTTCAGAATCCACCGAAGAACAACTCTCTCTTTTGTAGAACAAAACACAACCTTTGATGTACTCTCTTTAAACCATGAGTTGAATACTCAATAAAAACATCAAAGAAACTAGCAAAATATCTCCAGATATAAACCTTAAGATCCAAAAATAAGATCTGGAGAAGTTCCTCTAGTGTTGGGAGAAAACCAACTATTTATAGAAAACCAAAGCAATCCTAGTTTCAGAAGAAAACCAACTCCTTAATCAAATCTGGAAATCTGGGATCGCGCGGTCCGCTCGAGCGTGGCTCTTCCCGCTCGAGCGGAGACTTCAAATTCTGTGATTTCATGCAGGCTCCACGCTCGAGCGTCGGTTTTGACGCTCGAGCGTCGAATCACACCATCCAGTACTTTTTCAGGCGACTGCAGAGATGCTGAGAGCTTCCAATCCCCGCTTGAGCGTCCCTTTCCCCGCTCGAGCAGGGAGACAAAAATTTGAAAAACTGGAAAAATATAACATGATCGGACAGGCAACTTTGAATGCATTTTTGCATTTTGCTTCGGGGGCGCTGCCCCTCGACCCCGCCGTGGCGCTGCCCCGGAACCACCAAGGGGCGCTGCCCCCTCGACCCCCGCGAGCTGACCGGGCAACTCGATCCCCGTCATAATCAGCGAAGTGGTAATCTTGAAAGCTTTAGCATCATAAACTTTTCTGAAAGGCACAATTCGGGTTGGATTCGCATCTAAAACACTCATAGCCTCACTGAAATAAAAGTGCGAAAATAAATACAACTGAAAGAAGTTTTGTCATGCGGGATTGCCAAAAAATAAAACCTAACATGATCAAATTATTTTTATATAAAAAAATAAATAGTGAAAAAATAAACAGTTGACAGAAATCTAATTCAATAAAAATAATAATTTAAAAAAAAACATATTATTCACAATCAATCAAAATCAATCGTCATCGTATTATAATTTTAAAAAATAATAATTTTAAAATAATTTTAAATTATGGGTCCACTTCACAATCAATCAAAATAATAATTTTTAAAAAAACATAATTCGTCATCGTATTATAGGTCCACGTCGGTGAGGTTCGATCTGGATTTAGATTCTCTCCAGCCAAAACCCCTCGCGTCCGGATCCTCTAGAGTTATTCTCTAGAGTGATCTCCTGAAGTGGATGATCGGACGGCTGTGCTTAAGCCTCACCAAAACGACGTCGTTTTGGTGAGGATTTTCCACAAAAAAAAAAAATCAGCATTTTCGATTTCAAAATTCCCCCCAGGCTGAAGAATGCGAATACAGATGGCGGGAAGAAGCAAAACGACGAAAGAACGAGAGATCGAAGAAGAGTAGAGAGGCTGCTACTTCGTGCATCCCGTCGCCCCACCGTGGCAGTCGCCCCGCTGTCGTCGCCGTCGTGCCGTTGCCACTGTCCTGCCGCCACCGTGGCCGTCGCCCCTGTTCCAACCGATTGAAGAAAATATAGGTATTTAGAATGTTTAAATATATGTTTTAAGTTCGATTTTGTTGTTTTTGGTCTCCTCGAAATCAATCCCAGATGATAGCTCTATGGTTGAGAACATAATTTTTTTTTGCAATATCTGTGTTGTGCTGAATATTGTTCAATCCCTGTATTAAATCCATTAAATCCATTCATTTCAAATCCATGTATCGAAATGGAGCCTCAAGTGGTAGGGGGTTTGAACTATCAAGATATATGCCAATGTTGAGTTCTAGGTTAGGTGGACCAAAACAGGACCTGATCCTATACTTGAATCTGGATTCTTACTTGTTGACAGACGAAGCAATTGTTCATAGATTTCTTGTTGAGCACATAAGCAGAATTGGTGTTTCAGTATAATTGCTTCTTTAGCTGAAAAATAGTTTAGTTTGATTGTTTTCTCAAAACGATAACCATCAATACCATGAAAACTTGCAATATCTGTGTTGATTATTTAGAACAGTAGTTTAGATATATATATATATATAGATTTAGAACAGTCGAGATTAAAAACTTCCAAATCCAGCTTCTTATAGTATTCTCGTGCAACTAATTAAATTTCCACAATCCAATCAAAGCCCCCTTGTTGCTTGATATCCTTTAAAACTTGGCTTACTAAAACGGCATTCATGAATTAAATTTTAGCAATCCTTAGGGATTTGATATTAATTCCTCAATCATGCAAAACACAAAATTAGATTGATCAATGCTGCAAAGCAAGTAACCCAGGGATTTGTATTATTGTACAGTCATAAGAACACAAGGTCACAAATTAAAATTGACAACATATTACCTAAGAGTGCAAATGCTGGATGGTCATGTATAGTAAGCAACATATAGTGCATGAATGCTTCACAGGACTCATTTATATTTTTTTCTTCTGAATACCTGCTGTAGTGAACATCTTAAAACCACACTGTGGTACATAACAAAGACCATAATTTAGTTTGTATTATTCAGTTTGTTATTCGTTGATTATCTTATTCAATTTGTATTATTTTGCAAACATAATGTACAGTTTTTATGCTAATATTGAGCACTTCTTTATTTTTTAAGTGACTTGGCACATTGATATGGAACCTAACAATCATGAGAATGACGGGGGCGAGTGTGATTGGAAGCCTAGAATTCGCATGACATTTGATACAGAACAAGAAGTATATGATTTCTATAATAGTTATGGAGGAAGGTTGGGCTTCAGTATTAGAAGGGGTTATGTAAACAAGAGCAAAGAGGGGCAAATCACTTCAAGGCAATTTGTTTGTAATAAGGAGGGATTTCGGGTTGTCGACAAGCGAGATTCATTAACAAAAAATCCTAGGCAGGAAGTGAGGACCGGTTGTCAAGCCCGACTTGTTATTAAGTGGGATAGGAACATACAGAAATTTTTTGTTAGTGATTTTGTTGAACAACATAATCATATCTTTGTACCAACAGAATGTACGCATATGTTACCATCCCAAAGGAAGATATCTGCATCACAGGCAACCGAAATAGATTTAGCTGAAAAATCTGGAATCCGTCTTAATGCTGCATTTGAGCTCATGGGTAATGAAGTTGGTGGAAGGGAGTCACTTGGGTTCACAAAACTGGACCAAAAAAATTATTTGAGAACGAAGAGGCAAAACAGTTTAGCATATGGGAAGGTAGGTAGCATTTTGCAATATTTTCGTGACAAATCATTGGAGAATCCATCTTTTTTTTACTCAGTCCAATTAGATAACAAGGAGCAGATTACAAACATATTTTGGGCCGATGCTCAGATGATCATGGATTATGGGCAATTTGGTGATGTTGTGACTTTCGACACTACTTACAAGTTAAATAGTGCACATAGACCATTTACGTCTTTTGTTGGATTTAACCATCATAGGGAAACTGTGATATTTGGTGCAGCTTTGATGTATGATGAGACCGCCGATTCTTTCGTATGGCTGTTTAGAAGATTCTTGGAGGCAATGTCAAGTAAGGCTCCAAAAACAATTTTTACGGATCAGGATGCTGCAATGGCTTTTTTATTTTTAAGTGACTTGGCACATTGATATGGAACCTAACAATCATGAGAATGACGGGGGTGAGTGTGATTGGAAGCCTAGAGTTCGCATGATGTTTGATACAGAACAAGAAGCATATGATTTCTATAATACTTATGGAGGAAGGTTGGGCTTTAGTATTAGAAGGGGTTATGTAAACAAGAGCAAAGAGGGGCAAATCACTTCAAGGCAATTTGTTTGTAATAAGGAAGGATTTCGGGTTGTCGACAAGCGAGATTCATTAACAAAAAATCCTAGGCAGGAAGTGAGGACTGGTTGTCAAGCCCGAGTTGTCATTAAGTGGGATAGGAATATTCAGAAATTTTTTGTTAGTGATTTTGTTAAACAACATAATCATATCTTTGTACCAGCAGAATGTACACATATGTTACCATTCCAAAGGAAGAGATCTGCATCACAGGCAACCGAAATAGATTTAGCCGAAAAATCTAGAATCCGTCTTAATGCTGCATTTGAGCTCATGGGTAATGAAGTTGGTGGAAGGGAGTCGCTTGGGTTCATAAAACTGGACCAAAAAAATTATTTGAGAACGAAGAGGCAAAACAGTTTAGCATATGGGGAGACAGGTAACATTTTGCAATATTTTCGTGACAAATCATTGGAGAATCCATCTTTTTTTTACTTGGTCCAATTAGATAACGAGGAGCAGATTACAAACATATTTTGGGCAATTTGGTGATGTTGTGACTTTCGACACTACTTACAAGTTAAATAGTGCGCATAGACCATTTGTGTCTTTTGTTGGATTTAACCATCATAGGGAAACTGTGATATTTGGTGCAACTTTGATGTATGATGAGACCGCCGATTCTTTTGTATGGCTTTTTAGAAGATTCTTGGAGGCAATGTCAAGTAAGGCTCCAAAAACAATTTTTACGGATCGGGATGCTGCAATGGCTAAGGCCATACCTATTATCATGCCTAACACAACCCAGCGCCTTTGCACTTGGCATTTGATGCAAAATGCATTAAGGCATGCAAATTCTATCTTCAAGGATAAGGGGATGAAGAGTGTTTTATCCATGTTTATGTACGACATTGAGGATGAGGATGATGAAGAGTTTACATTAAAATGGGAGGAAATGCTTGACAAGTATGAAGTAAGAGATATTCATTGGTTGAAGTTAACATTTGAGGTCAAGGAAAAATGGGGTTGGCTATGTGTTATAAATGCATGGGGTGCGGACATGAGTAGCACCCAACTTAGTGAATCCTTTAATGCTTTCTTGAAGGATTTCATTCAGTCTGATCATAACTTAATGCAATTTTTCACGCATTTTGATCGAGTTCTTTCTGAGAAGAGGTACAAAGAGTTACAAGCCGAATATGCTCTATGCCAAAAGTTGCCAAGGGTGAATATTAAAGTGAAGATTATGGAGCAAGCTGCAGATGTTTACACAAATAAAATTTTTGAAGAATTTCAGGATGAGTATGTCAAGTCCCTTGAAGTAAACATTGAAGAAATTGAAAATGATGGTGAGAGTACCGTTTATATGGTTCTTGATAGTGATGGTATAAAGGTGAGGAAAGTGAGGTAGGAGTGTGATGATTCAGTCACTTGCAATTGTAAGAAGTTTGAAATGAAGGGCATTTTGTGTAGTCATTTTTTGAAGATCCTTAGAGAAAGACTCAAATTCAAAGAGATTCTTTCACAATATATTCTGAAGAGATGGACTAAAAAAGCAAGATTTGAAAATGTGAAAGATAAGTGTGGGCATGATATTCAGGTTGATGTAAGATTGCATCAAACTTCACGCTATAGGTCATTGATGGCAATATTCAGAGCAGTAGCGTTTAGAGCTTCTGAAAGTGAGGAAACATATAATTTGACGGTAGAGAAAGCGGATGAATTAATTGCAAACATTGAAACCATGTTAAGCGCAAAATTCAATATGCCTTGTTCAGATACTATTCAACAAGAAAGCCCCACCGGCACATGCCCCGAAAGCTTTGAAGTGGATGGTGTAGCAGATAAAAATGTAGTTCAAGCAAAAGGACTCAAGAGAAGAGTGTGCACTAGCAAGGGACGAAGGCGGACAAAAGGTGGTTTGGAGCTTGCGTTGGCAAAGAAAAATAAAACAAGTTTACATAATGTTTCTCAAACTTCCATGTCTGTTACTCCTCAAACTCCTCCCTTACTTTCGGCAAGTGCTCCTGAAGCACCTCCCTTATTTCCTCAGTCGGCTCCTTTATTTTCAAGTGCTCCTCAACTTCCTCCATTCTCGCCGAGTGTTCCTCAAGTTAGAGCTTCTTAGTCTCAATTTATGTATCCCGTCTATGATGTAAGTTAGTTTAATAGAAGTTTTAGTAGGGATTTGTAGGTGACTATTATCATTTTAAATTGATATGTGTTTGTTATTGTTGCAGCCAAGTTTTCTTCATCACAATATGCATTTTTCAATGCCATCGATGTATTCCGTCAATGGAACCTATCAAGCATTGCTTAACAATGCAAGTCCTTATTGTTGGAAATGGTAGAAAAATTCTGGGTAAAACCAGAATTTTTTCTCAAGTTTGGTCTATTTTTTAGGTGGGCCCCGAGTGTCGATTTACTTGGGTCAAAGTGGTAACACGTTCTATGCCGCGTTATGATTCACGTGGTATATTTGGTTGCTCAAAACCATCACCGAGTGAAGGGAAATTGAAGCCAAGTGTCTCCATGGAAAATGGAGTTTTGGTGGAAATTCTTAAGATTGTTAAATTGGTTGTCCACATTGATTTTGGTGGAAGTTTGAAAGGGTTTAAAGGCTTGGATTAGATACTTGGGGTGTGCCCCCAAGGGTACCAAGTGTTTTAGGGGAGAGGTTATGGGCAAAATGGGCTAGACCATTGGACCCAAAAAACACCACCACAACGCGGCGCCGCGCCCGCCGTCGTCGGTCGGCGGCCTGGGCTGGCCTGGGCTGGCGCGGGTGCGTGGGTGTTGTGGTGGCTTCTAATCTTTTTGGCCAAAAAACATTTGAATTTAATTTTATTTTTTGGTAAAATAAAATTCAGAATTCAAATTAACTGTTTGGATTATGTTCATTTACTTGTCAATTCAAAACCAAGAAGCCACCTTACATCTAAATAGACTGGCCTTCCCATTTGATTTCACCGAATTTCGTACTCCATCTCTGCTTTAAATCTCTGCAATTTGCTGCATTTTATTTCGAAGAAAGAGGTAAACACTTTTGTGTGTCAATGGAACGATTAAAATGTTATAGTGCTGCTTTATATTCGTTGATAAGATCATTTTTCCTGGGAGATAGACGTCCAAACTAAAGCACCGTGGAGAGGACGAACATGTCTTAAGGACACAGTGTTAAACACTGGACTTGATCAAGAAAAAGTTATCAAATAAACTTAACCAAGTAAGTTGTTTAATTTTATTCTGTTTGTTTTATTTATTTAATCAGATTTTTATTTTTGTTTTTGTAACAAGATAAAATCTGTGGGTTTATTTTATTTATTTTATTTCGAGTTTGATTTTGTAATTCAAACAAATTCTCTCCTTTTCTTTATTTCTTTATATTTCTTGTTGTTGCTTTGTACACACAGAATTTAACTAATGTAAATACAGTGAAGATTGCTACATCTTAGACCAGATTCCTTTTTCGTATCTCATTATATTAATTTTTGTGTTTTCAAAGTAATATTCTGGTTGGAAAAACAAATAGTGATTTATGCATTGACAGTAGTTAGTAATATACTGGTCTCTTTTTCTTTGACAACTAGTAGTAATATACTTGGTGTCATTAACAATTCAGAATATTATTTGGTTTAATTAAGAAAATTATTGTCAAAAATTTTGTTTTCTAGTTTTAGTAACAAAGAAAATAAAATTATTTTGTTGTTATAATTTATTTCTGGTTTTAGTAACTAGAAATTAATTGTGTTAATTTATTTTCGGTTTGGAACTAGAAAATTATTTTTGTTGTTTCTTTCTGATTTTTGTAATCAGATATTATTTCGGTATTTTATTTTCTATCTAGGTTTTAGTAACAGAGGAAAATAAAATTTATTTTATTTTCTAGTTTTAGTAACAAGAAAAATAAAAATTATTTTGTTGCTATAAATTATTTCTGGGCTTTAGTAAACTAGAAAATTAATTTGTTGGTATTTTATTTTCTAGTTTTAGTAACGTAGAAATAAAATTAATTTTTATAATTTATTTGTGGTTTAGTAACTAGAAAATTAATTTTGTTAATTTATCATAGTTCTTTTGACTTTATCTAGACATGGAGAATTTGTTCTGGAAGTAAAATATTAATTTAAAACAAATTTTCATTTTTGTTCGGCAAGTTTTAGTTTCTTATTGAAATCAATTAATTTTCTGTAGGTGGATCGTAGTCTGTGAATAGTTTCTGCATATGAGTCGGAATAATAATATATATATAATTATATTTTCACAAGGACTTTTGATGCATATTTAATTAGTTTATTTATGTAAAATCAAACTTTATTAAATGAAGGTTATGTTTTGTCATTTTTGAAGTTTTTTAAAATTCAAAACGCATGAAATTTTTTTATGAGTGAGAATCTTTTTATTTCATGATCATGTATGATTAATTTATTTTGTTATTCTTTATTTTAGTTGTGCTTGATATGCATGTATTGATGTCAAACTCAATCTATTTCTTAACAAAAATTTCATGTGATTTTGGAAATGTTAAATTGATATGTTAATTATTGAGTTTTCCAATCAATTTTTGATGGGTGTTTAAACACCAGGAGAAAATTTAAACATGAAGATGTATGTAGTTATATCGTTCCATTAATTGGAAAGTAAATTTTAAGAAAATTCTTTTATGTTGATTTTTTAGTTTATTTTTGAATTATGTATGACATGAGATGTTTATTAAAATTATTACTGCGTAGTAGAATTTGTTAAACCATGAACCATTTTATTAATATGGAGGTGTATCTCTTGCATTAGTTGAGATAATTTAATTTTTCTGTCACAAATAATTTTTTATTGACAGTGACATTTATTCGTAAATGAGTTG